CGCATTAACTAACTTCCGCTCGCTGATCAGAGATTACTAACTAGCCCTCGTCAAGTGGAAGACAAGTCCCCTGTGCAATGTAACTTTTCTATTGACACCCCCTTTCTTTAATAGGGAATCGCTCGCATGGCATCTGAGGTACATGGGTACAAGCTCGGGGAGGAGCAAGAGGTAGTCTTGAGTAAATGAAGCAATCCGACAATGATTTGAGCTTTGCTTCTGTGCTTATGCATAAGAATGAAATGGACTATTGGGAGCTTAGAACATAGGTAGAGTTCGATGATCAAAAATACAACTTGCGCTTTAGCATACACACACTGATACTGACTGACCTTGCCCCCTGCCAGAGGGAGCTGCCAGTTGTTACTGGAAGTTTCAAAGCAGAAACCGCAATGGTTTGCTCTTTTCTATGATAAACATGCGAAAATATCCATTAAACACATAAGGGAAAAGTCATGTCTAGTTTTATTTTTTTTGTAGTTATTACCATATGCAAGGGAGATATCCCGAGATCAGGCCTCACATGACTAGATCCACACGACTTGTTTTTTACTCATTGCCGGTCCGTACCCAACCTTTAACTCTATTCTTTTGACTTTTCTATCTACACAAGCTACAGCAAGGCAACAGCTTCATCAGAAACTCAAAAGAAGCCCTTGCCAAGTATATAACTTGGCCATGGGTCCCAAGGGGGGACGCTCATCAACCACAATCAACCACAAGACCTCTCCAAGCAAACAACCACCCGACCTCTCCTTGCGAAAGCCATTATCGTCGTCTTTCGCAAGGAGAGGTCGGGTGGTTGTTTGCTTGGAGATGTGGTTGGTTGGCGATTGGCGATAATGAAAGTCATGTCTATATTGAGCCCATATTCTAAACTTGGGCGCAAATGATCTCCCTAATCAACCCATCCATCGTCTCATTAAGTCTATATAATGATATTAACTCGACTGGCTAGTCACACGCCGTGCTTTAGGAACATCTCTATCTTCTTCGGGCTGTACCTCTGGCTCAACCGTCCTTCCCGCTTCCATGGCTGCGATTCGCGCACCAACGCCGTGGGTCTCAGCATTCTTGAACTGCCACGCCCAAAGTCCTCTCTGTGAAAGTAAAAGTTAATTTCTAACAGTACACACCTCTGAGTCATGAACCTCGTACCTCGAATAGTTCGTCTACCTCCTCGAGCGACCTCCCCTTGAGCTCTGGGATAAACCCAATGAAGAAAAAGAAGGCAATCGCAGCGAGGCCCATGAACACGTACCCGACCCGGGCACCCAGCTGGATCTGGGGACCAGCCTGCAGGTAGGGAGTGAAGAAGGTGACGAGGAAGGCCGAGAAGACGTCGACGATGACGCCCCAGCCCATGAGCTTGTTGCGGAGCTGCGTGCCGCCCATCTCCGAGCCAATCAGCCAGCACTGGCTGGCCACGCCGAGCTTGCAGACGCCGTTGAGGAGGATCACCGAGGCGACGACGACGTTGCTGTACGTGGCGTTGCTCTTCGCGTCCGGCTTGGACCCGATGGACCCGATCAGGGCGTTGAACATGGTCGCGAGGGCGGCCCCGATGATGCACAGGGTTCGGCGACCTATCGTGTCGGTCGTGAGGACGGCGATGATGCAGCCAACGAGGCCGGCAAGGGGGATGAGAGTCGAGTATGTGAACAGTTTGTCCGAGGCGAGTCCCATACTCTTGAAGAATGTGGGACCGTACGAATTGGCGAACTGTTGGCCCGTCACTTGCTGGAAGAAGAACATGAAAGAGACGATCTGTGATTCATGATTGTGAGCTCGTCATCAATTGTTGGAAATAGGGATTAGAAAGGGGGTAGCTTACGATAGTGCGGTTGATGTACGACTGTTTAAATAGATCCCTCCATTGGCCCTGGTTTTGGACTTTGCTTTCTAGAATGGCTTCCTCACATGCTTCGATCTCTAAAAGAGTTTGCCCGCTCTCTTTATCTTCAGCAGGTCTGACTTTGTTTAAGCTCTCTATTGCTTCGTCCTATATTTGAGTCAGCTGAATTTGTGTCCTTCGTGAGTGAAAAGTGTCTAATTAATATACCTTTCTGCCATGAGCAAGGAGCCAGCGTGGGGACTCGACACAGAAAGGAACGCCAATGAGGAGGAGTAGCGCAGGAATCATCTGGACGGCGACTGGGATGATCCAACCCTTCTTTCCGGTCTCGTCGGCATATGCACGGCTCATGCCAGCACCCCAGATACTACCAAGATGCACCAGAACCTGGACATTTCCTGCAAAGAAGCCTCGGAGGGGTGCCGGGGCGAGTTCTGCTTGATAGACGGGGATGAGAGGTTCAACAATACCGACAGCAAGGTAGGCAAAGACGCGGCCGATGGAGAACTGGATCCAATTGGTCGCTGACACTTCGACTGTGGCCTGGGTTTAGTTGTGATCTTGAGCTGTGACGAGTAGGTAGGATTCATACGGATAACGGCAAAGATCTGGATGGCTGCTAGAATGTAAACGGTTTTCTTGTAGCCGAAATGGTCGAGTAGAGGTTCGAAGATGGCACAACCAACAAGTTTGCCGGTCCAGTTCACTGAGCGACACTGTCAATAGACTGAGTTTGAGAAACAACAGGGATGTTTCTAACCTGAATTCATGATACTCTTCCGACTCGTGGAGAGGCCATAGCTCTCATCAGACTGCAGCTCGCCGAACTGTCTAAGAAAACTGGGGAGGGCTTGGAGAGAGCCAAACGACGAGACATCACTGTATGCTGTGTAAGTGACGATAAAATAAACAGACAAAATGTTGGCATTGGCTTACATGCCGAACAAGACATTGCCTGCATTAAAGACGAGGCAGCAGTACAGCAAGTATGGAGTGACCGACTTCCAGTCCGATGCCTTCATCTTGACAAATGTCCGAATGCTACCTGAACATGCAATGCAATGCTCGTCTGGTCCGGATATGGGGTGGCCTGCCGTCGAGAGCCGTGATCCATCCCATGTGTATATGTACTTTTCTGCCTTTTCCGTCGGCAGGAAGTCATCTCTTGCAGACACAGACGTGTATGAACCAGGGGAAAGGATCAGTTTCCATCCAACCCACAGCAATAGACGGACCCTCCTCCAGAATCAAATCACGCAATGCGGGGGATGGATGGCGTCTGTATGGAGATTGATTGATTAATCCTGCCTGTGGTTGGATGGCTGGGCCAGTTGCAGGCTCAAAGCGGAGTCGAGTGGGTAAAAGGGTGACTCTATCACGGTGGTAATCCTCCCGTAAGAGGAATAGCTGATGTCAAACGACGCCCCCAGGAGTGAGCGTAGGAGCATGACATGAATGGCTTCAAGCACGCCATCGACACCATCTCGATTTGTCGACGGTGGCCGTTGACATTCGTCGCGTAAGCTCGCGGAAAGTTTGCCGACGCATGGAAGACGCCTGGATGCGGTATGGACGTATAAGTTGTATGCTAGTCAACATGAAAACTGAAGCTATATGCAATTTCAACCCATAGAAGTGTCAGGTACTTGATTGATAGTCATCCCTCACATAATCATGGCGTCAGTGTCTGTTCAAGCTCCCACGCCCTGGATTGAGCCAGGTACGGTCAACAAGGACATCTTCCACGATGGCTACAAGACCTCTGGGCAGCATGAGCCAGTCTACTCAGCCATCCAACCTTATGACAAATTCCCCAAGGAGATCACTGGTGTCACGGCATGGAAAGCCGAGGACTTCAAGAACAACCCTGAAAAATGGACATATGCCTTCACAGCCGCCGAGATTGCTGAAATCGAGGCGGCAGCAGAGAACTTCATTGCGTCAGAGGTACCCTTGACGGGCATCACCAAGGCTCTCTTCCCACTCCCCACACTCGCCGGTCGTATGGCTGCTCTAAAGAAGGAGCTGGTCGATGGCCAAGGCTTCTGGCTCTTCAAGAACATTCCTGCCCAGGCATGGGGCCTGAAGAAGTCGGCAACCGCATACATGGGACTCGGCGCCCATATCGGCTACTTCACTAGCCAGAACGGCCGCGGCCACGTCCTGGGTCACGTCAAGGATCTTGGAGAGGACCCTACGAAGACAGACCGGGTTCGCATCTATCGCACTAACGCCAGGTAAGCCAAGCTCACTACCTCGATAGACCAAACTCATCCGTCTGACACAAGTCGCTGACATGCACCATCTGCACACAGACAATACTTCCACACCGATGCTTCCGACATCGTGGGACTGCTGTGCATTGCCAAGTCCGAGGTAGGCGGCGAGAGCGACATCGTATCCCAGCACCACATCTTCAACTGCCTACAGAGGGAGAACCCCGACGTGGCCAAGACCCTCTGCGAACCCATCTGGTATCTCGATCGCAAGGGTGAGGTATCCGAGGGCCAGCAGCCCTGGATTCGCGCCTCCGTCTTCTACATGGAGAACGACCCGACAGGGAAGCCTCGCGTGTACGGCAAGTTCGACCCCAACAACGTCACCTCTCTCTCCCGCTTCAACTCTGGACCCGACGCCCAGATCCCACCTTTATCCGAGGCCCAGCTCCGCGCCATCAAGGTCCTCGAGGAGACGTGCCTGCGCGAGTCGCTGCACATGATCCTCGACCCTGGCGACATCCAGTTTGTCAGCAACTCCCACGTCTTCCACGCCCGCACGGCGTACAAGGACTACGCCCCGGGAAGTGTTGATGAGAACGGCGTCCCTCGCCCCCCGAGGCATCTCATGAGGCTTTGGCTCTCCGTTCCCCTGGATGAGGGTGGCTGGAAGCTGCCCTATCCTGATATGTACTGGAAGAAGCGAGGAGGGATCCAAGTAAATGACAACGCCCCTGTTTGCCCTCTGGACGCAGAGTAAACAGAATATTGTAAACCAGAAAAAGAGAGAACAAATATATCCCCAAGAAAATTAGGAAAGGAGAAGGGAACCCAAAATTGGGATGAGGATAAGATTTTGCATCATTGTAGCGCGGGTATAGATTATTTTACTAAACATTAGGGAAAATAAATGAAAAAAGGTATCATGGTCAATTAGGAGGCTCAAACATAAGTTCGCCCATCTGCGAGGTCCCTACCCAAGGTAGCAGACCTTCTGCAGTCATATCAGATCCGACTACAATGTCCACAGGCTGCCAATCCAGTCCTGCTGGTGGGGCAAAGAACATGTCCAAATTTGGTCCCGGAGTATCCAAACCGGTGTACGCGTCCCGTGGTTCTGGCCGTTGCTGCACAGGAGTATTACCAGTCTGGCCCGGGTAGGCCTCATCGCTCGGCGCCAAGTTGCTATTGGCGGGAGTGGACGACGGTTCGGAGCGCGAGGCCACGCTTTCCGGCTGGTGACGCTCCGGTATCTGATTCCTTGCCATACGGTAAATAGACAGAGGGTTGAGGACGTAATCCGGAGCGGTTTGGGAGGGTGCAATATGAGCGCTCTCCCTCGTTAGGCGGGCGAGATAAGGATCGTCTAGAATGACATTAGGAAGCGGTAGAACGTTGTTGGAGTCTACTCCCAGCTTTTCCAACATCTCTTCTGCTGCTCTGGCCTGTTCATATGATTGTTAGCAAATCGCGACTTGGTCAAACCTGAAATTGATGAACTTACGAGGCCGTCGGCAACTACGTTCATGGTTTTCATTGTCTTGAGAGCTTTCAGATTGCTCTGCAAGTACGGGATGGTATTGAGGATCAAATCAAACTTGCTGCTTCTGGGCGAATCTGAAAGTTGAGTCAGATAGAAGAGCATGATGCGGTTGCTATCATAGGCAATAGTCGGGAGCCAGCTATCTCCAATCATCCGCGGGCCGTGCCTCTCCGCCTCAGCAATGATAGCCGCCAGTGTCCTCGCGCTCTTGAATAGCGTCCACTGTAGTTCCTTCTGGAAAGATCGCTGCTCTAGGGGAAAGTGAAATGCAGATCTGAGTTTATAAACTGCCGGAGTCCCGATGCGAAACAAATCACACATGGTTTGATGGAACGAACAATGGAAGAGACAGAGTGCACCTAACTGGGAGCTCTCCTTGCGCATGTATATCGTTGAGCTGATAAACTGCAAATTGGTGGGCAAGGACTGATGCCATGAACGAAGCTCCGAACTGAGCTGGGCAAACTCGGAGTGGGGAAGCCACGGCATCTCGGCGACGTCCAGATGCTTGATGTATCTCAAAACGCGTTTCCGGATTTCGGTCTGCTGTATGAAGAATGCCAGCATTCCCATGTTATCGGTGAGATCCGAGGGAGTTAGGTCTTTGGGAGCAATGTCCAAGGCACCCCCCTGTAGGGAGCCAGTAATGCATGCTCGCTCATGGAGGAAACTCCAGTCATTGCATGGAAGCTGGATTTTTATGTCTTTCTCATGAACCAGCATGAGTTGGTCAACACCGCTGCCGCAGAGAACATCGGTCACATAGCAGCTCCACATCAGCCGCCGCCGTGATTCTCGCACAGTCGTTGAGAGATCAACATTTGGGCCTTCATTGTATAGATCTGTTGAGTACTCGAGGTTGATCTGAAGAGCCTGCGCCATCCGCACCATTAGGGCGCTGAGGATGAATGCTTGTGAGAAGTTGGCCATCCGAAGCGCATAATCGTACAATAGCTGTGCAGTCTGGCGACCAGAGAGGTAAATTAGCTACTGTCAGATGAAGATAAGCAGGCAGTTAGGAATATACTCACCATTAAACCCTCCACCGATATGCTGCCCGTATTTTCTAACAATAACCGTTGGGCTGTCTTGGCCCAATGACAGCCCGCTTTGAGGATGAAAGACGTGGGCAGAGACTGAACAGTGTCACTATGCTCCAAGGCGTAAAATCTGCTCGAAAGTTTAGAAAATTTATCGACCATGAGGACATGAAAGTTTTACTTACTGTGCGCCTAAGGTGCATACAATGTGAAGCAGTGCGTTGTCTTGCAAGCTGGAGGTTGGCCGTTCATCTAGCCGCCGCAAGAAGGATGGCTTGTGTATGAATGCAAAGCACCGTAGAGGATGAAAATTTTGAAAATAAGACATGACCAACACTCTGAGATGCTTGGGCCCAGGGAGTTCATGTGAGCATAACCTTGGGAGAGGGAGGCTCGTTAGTCATCCACACTTGGACCGACATACTACCATGCAACACCGACAAAGATATAACGTACCATGATAGCGGTGAGTCCTCAGCACTGCTAGATGCAGACAAGATAGACGACCGACGACTAGGAGATTTACCATCGGTACTATCCCGAGGCGTGGACGCCGTCAAAGGTGCTCCGTTTGGTCGCTGAGCCGATGGTGTAGAAGACGAGGACGGCTTTGGAGTGTTCTCATATGAACACTGGAGATTGTTCTCGCGGCATGCCACACAGACAGGGCGATCTCCAGAGCATTTACATCGAGCCAGACGGCAATTGTTACAGGAGCGATAGGTTCTCTTCCCGCCTCCCCTCACCGGGTTGGAGGCCCGCTGATAGCCAGAGCATTCAAGATGCAGCTTCTCACAGTTGGCACAGCCATTGGGCCGCTCATCGCACTTGACCTGTTCAAGGAATGGCCATGTCAACAAATGAATCAATATCAAACGACGGGCAGATAACGAGAAAGGAGCTAGAAAAAATATCTCAACACTACAACATACCTTTCGGGTACGGCAAGTATTGCATCCTGGAGCACGTCGGTCAGCTCAACTCACACCACTTAGACGCATATATACACAGACACGCATGTAAGAACACACAGAGGTGCTTGTCCAGGGAGCTCCGAGTGGAGAATGAGGGTCAGCTACTCACCAAAGCGGGATCGTGTCTTCTTGACCCGTTGGCGATGTGGTGGTTGAGGGCCGTCGGGAGTGGCTTCTGGCTCCGGCCCCATTGCAACGGCAGGCGATCAGTCTCGCGACAAGGGCAAAGCGACACAAGCCCAGGACACGGGGACAATACAGCGGAGCGTGAGGACGCAGGTGTCGGTTGGGGATCTCGGCTACTTGAGTGCGTCGAGCAAATCGGCAGTTGATCGGTACACGCCCTTTCAGCCCACGGCGAGGAAGGCGGATAGTGGGGTCCCAGTCGCGCTATTCCGCAAGCAGACCGAGGACCTGGCTTCGATCCACACAGGGTGGCTCTAGCAAGTATAGACTACCCTACACCATCATCCGTCTACTACCAGTAGGTCCACAGAACAGCCAAGATGTCTCTTGCTGTTGCTTTGTATTGATGATACTTTTGCTTTAAACGAAAAACAATTTGTATTAGCATGTTCTTTTTATCCATATATATATGTACTTGGGCTCTTTTGTCCTCTGAAAAGGCCCCCACTCTGGTAAGCCCGATGGTTTTTAGACCGATGTGAGTCTGCCGTGCATTCTTCCCGCTCTCAAGATATCAATTGCTCATCGGCCCAATATATTACTGAATATCTCGTCCTCCACCTGAGCATGTTCCCCAGAACGGTCGATCAACAACCGTCCCTTCCTGCTCGTATGTCATTTCGGTTCATAGAGTTTCGTTGCTCCGCCACCATTGCTTTGATGGTAGAGCGGTTTCGAGCAACTCTTCGGCGCAGCGTTTTAGCCGCTAGGATTAATTCTTCTTCTTCCCGAGGTCGATATAGGTCCGGTCATCCGTATCGCCCTCGACTTCCTTCTGGATCTGCTCCATCTCCTTGATACCGGCAGCTAGTGTCTCCTTGGACTTCTTGGTCTGCTTGTTGAACCAGGCCATGTCAGGCTTGCGGTAGCTCCCGCCGAGGCGATCCCACAGGGTGGTGAACTGGCCGTAGTTGTAGCTATCAAGAATGTTAGCGTTTGCCGCTTCTTAAAACACGACAGACAGAAGCCGGGGAATCTAAATGGAATCGGACATACTTGAAGAACAAATGGTGCGCAGTGTGGCAGGCAGAGCCATTGATGACCGGGTTGTCGGTAATGTATTCTCCGTCATGGATGGCAATGGTCCAAAAGTTGACAAAGATGAAGGCGCCGACAAAGACGAACTTGTGCATGGGGAAGAGCAGCGGGTACAAATGGTAAGGTGCCGACTGGACGAAGCCGTCGAGGGGGTGGAAGGCGTAGCTGGCGTACGGGCTGGGCATGATCCATTTGTGGTGACGCTTGTGCAGGTACTTGTAGACCAAGGGGGCGTGCAGCCACCGGTGAGCCCAGTAAATGCAGAAGTCGGTGAACATGATGAAGAAGAATATCTGCGTGTAGTCGTACCATAGCCCGGGGCCTTCCTCAGTGACGTCGTAGAGCTTGGCGTAGCCACGGACCTCGAGTAGGAAGGTCATGGTGGTGCAGATACTGAGACCGGGCATGGCAAGGGATGCTTGCTTGATTTCCAGCCAGATCTGGTTCTTGAGAAACTTGGGATGTCCCAATGTGTCATGATCAAAGATGAAGAGATAAGAGAGGGTAGAGAAGAAGAAGTAATTAAACAGGCCAAAGACCCTGAGAGGATGTTAGCAGGCATATCAATTGCAATTGGCCAGACCATGGGACTTGGACTGCGATGGCTGGACTCGACGCACCAGGTAATGAAGAAGAGGGAAACTGCCTGACGGAGAACAAAGTCCCGAGCCCAGGCACTTTCGTAGGCGTACTGCGAAGGCTCAAAGTAGAACCTCGGGGAGGTGGGCTTATACTCCCATGATGTGAGAGGGGCCGTCACATTGGACCCGGGGCCGGCCTGGAGATGCGGAGCGGGGAGCACTGAGGCCCAGATGCGATCTCCGACGAAGGTATCGACTACCTCGAGGACAATGTCCATGGCGGAGGCAAAGGAAAGAAACACAAGACTGGGACGGAATTTGACACAGACACGCTCGAGGAAGTATCAACCGCTGGGAAGGAGATCGGTGATGAGACTGAGGAGTAGAACCGGATGCCCGAAAGCCATAGCTATAGATGGGATTACGGCTGTTTTTGAAGATGGAAAAAAACCCGGCCGATGAAGGAACATTCCGGAGCAGAGCTCTGGGGTGTGGTGTGGTGTGGTGCCCCCGTGTCAGTCTCAGGGTCCTGGTCTCGTCTTCGGGATTTCATCTTGAGGCTGAGGAGCCAATGGCAACCGTCCAATTGCAGTCGACAAATCCCCACGCCCAAGATTTTAAATCCGAATACGCAGGTACAGAAAGCTTTAGGAACTCTGCTTTGAAAGCTGTGAGCGACGAATGGGGTCCAGAGTCCTGCCCCTTGTCGCGAGTTTGGTGCCAGGGTGGAATCGTACGATCTAACAACGGCAACGATGGATCCGGGTCGAATGGAGATGGGAAATCATTCGACCTCGACGCATAACATAGCGACAGAGATGAAAAAAAAGAGGACCAAGCAGCGGTCATGCCGTCATTTGAAAGCGTAAAGGAAGTGAGGAAAAATTTCAGATAATGAGCCGGTCCGGAAGATTTGTCGGTGAGCACAACCCGAACAGATGCCTTATTGTCACCACCACGAACAACCAGGATGCGAATCCAGATTGGGCGTGCGCCGTAGGTTTGACTAGATTGGTTTTCGTGTTTCGTTCGTAGCAATCAGAAATGCTCGATTGTCCAAATCATACATCCATGGCGGTTGCCTACCCTTGTCTCCTCCCATATGATGTGAGTCTTGGACGACACACGGGAAGACGCGGATCCAAGGTTCCTCAACCTTTGTCTTTATCACCATGGCGTGTGCTTTTTTCTCTCCTGCAGCCTAGGGCGATCAATTGACTCTGGTTTTTTGCCCAGGCAAGCCTAGGAAATACAAGTCGCCAATTGACATATGCTACCCGGGCAAATTGCAATCTGGTAGTCGCAATGACTTCTGCTTCAGACTGGGTTCTGAAACTTTCTGAACTTTTCCCTACCGCCTGCCGAGTGACCATGCAGGCTGGAAAGCCACGAGAGGAATGAATTCATGGTACCAACAAGCCAGATCCTTCAAATCCATACCCGCGAGTCCTGTTCGCGAAGTTAACGAGCTCATTCAATATGCCGTCATTCTGCCGTATGGAATTCGACGTCGCATGGTCAGGTTTGTGCTTTCGATCATGTCTGGTCGAGCCGAGAGAAGATTGTAGGTGGGCTGAATCGCTGTTTGATGTTTCATCCTCCGAAAGTCTGGTCGCAGGAGTATCCCTCATAGGTTCTTGTATGGGCGCGTTCTAGTCATTGCCTAAGAGCACTCCACGTCTCTATTTTGGCATTTGGTGGGAGGGTGTGTTGAGAAGAAACAGCTGGCTAAATCGGGCTGTGGCTCACGGTAAGAGTGATTCTGGGGCACCGAATATCCGTTTTCCCGCAACCGACAGCGACCATTTTGGACATCTCTGAGTTGTCTATCAATTGAGGCATGACCAATAATCGTATGTAAGTTACACATGATGAATACGGACAGAGATGGATGGATGTACCATATGTCCTTCCGCGGGTAACCGGCTATCTAATCAATCTAAGCGAGGACATAAATCGCCGATCCGGGCCTGTTACTGATCTGAGAAATCCCTGTATTGTAATCTGGTGGTGAAACAGTTGGGGCTCGGACTGGAATTGATGAGCGTGAGCAGACCTCACGAGGGTGAATGTTGCTGACTGCGTGGTGTTAAATGAAGCGGCAGCCGCATCTAATAGTGAGCCAAATTTGCTCTCAAAGTAAGTCTCACGAGGTAAGATCTTGTTGGTCCACCAAGGGAGATACATATGTGACGTTGAATGTGCCAGTTTATCCCATTCAGGCGGACGGATGACAGTTCTTCTCCGATGAGGAGGAGGAACCAAGGCCAGAAGGCAAAGCAATGAGCCAGAAGATAGACAGCTAATGATAGTAAGCAAGCAAAGTTGAAGAGATCCTAAGGGATAAGTCAATAGTGTAGCAGAGCCCGAGTTCGGGAGGGAGCCTACTTCCATCCTAGAGGGCAAGTACACCTGTGAGCTTGTGCGGTAGCTCCTGCAGATATGGGCGACATCTTATCTTATCCATCTAACTTTGATTTGGATGAATCGTAAACTTACGCCACACCTGCCTACCGAAACAGCCAATTTTGTCCACGTTGGAGGGAACGCATCAAGATACAATATAATAAGAACAAAAAGAGCAAAAAGAAAAAGGGAAAAGAGCAAAAATGCGTAATCTGGGAATCGAACCCAGGGCTCCCCGACGCTGCTCGGATGGCAACGGAGAATTTTACCACTAAACCAATTACGCGCTTGTTGAGAATGGTCTCCCAATTTTGGCTTCTGAGCTCTGTCCCAATTGGCCGTCCACGCACGATTTCAAAGGTGAGAGGGAATGGAAGGACATGGGGTCATCAGTTTCCCTTTATATTATGTTTCTCGGTGCGAAATTATACGTCTATCATTTGTATCGTGTCGATATAGGTTAGTATCCCGGCGCATCAATCCCAGAAACCCCCTTTGGTCCCTCGTTGGTATCGGTTTGAGCCAAACGTGACAACGCAACCCCCTTATCGAAATACTGAAACTAGGAAATACAAACTTAAGCCAAATCATGGAGAAAGAAAAGCAGTAAAAAAAATGTAGGTCTAGGAAGGCTTGATGATGTATGTTAGGGTGAAAATCGGGCCTTATGCAGTGGCCCTCAGCGACCCAGTTTCAAAGCCCGCGAGTCCTGCGAAACCCTCACTGAGCTTTTTGGTTATAAAATCCGGGTCGGGCTCATCGCCGTTGATAAACGTCCAACTTTCTTCGTCTTCGTCGAGTTCGTTTCCTCCAGATTCTTCATCTGTTCCCTGGTTCCTGCCCGCCTTGCGTCTCACAAGACTCTTAGCATACTCCATGTCACGATAGATGGATTGGATTGCTAGGTCGACTCCTCTCTCCTGATTTATCGTTAGTCTTCTCATTTCCACTTGGCCGATTATCTGTGGAGGACATACCTGACGAATCTGCTCACCGAGCACTCTAGCTCGGACAATCATCCGCTCACTTCTAGTAGCCTCCCAGAGGGCTCTTCCGAATGCATTGGTACCCCACTTCTTCACCCAGACTCCAACCCCCAGATCCTCTACCCTGCTAGCGAAGAAGAACTGATCACCAAAGAATGGCCGGATGATAGTCGGGATGCCCGCCCGCAAGCTGGCACCCGTAGTTCCTGAGCCGCCGTGGTGTGCTGCAGCATCAATTTGCTGAAATAGCCAGTCGTGAGGAGCAGACTTGATGACATGGATTTCAGGGGGGATCTCTGGTTCCGGTCCCAATTGCGCGATCTCGCCCTGGGTAGCTTTGGAAGATATCCGGTCGGACCAACCTTTGGATAAGATACAGCGCACATCTGCTTTGAGAACGGCATCAATGACCTCTTGGGTCATTTTGGGTGGGTCGCTGACGATGATAGAGCCAAAGCCCACGTAAACCAACTTCTTACCGTCATCCCTGGCTTTCTGGATGAAAGCCTTCAGTTCTGGGGGTGGCTCATACTTATCCCCTTCATCCAAGAACCAGTATCCAGTTACACGGATCCAATCCGAGAAATCCAACGGGGGCGCCACGACCATGGGACTGAAGTTGTAGAGAAAGGGTACTTTGTTTGGTGCCATCTTCTCAAGGCTTGTGTTAGGCAAGCCAAGCATGTTATTCCGCCATCGGTTGACCTGGTGAGAAATTGCCTTCCAGAAGAGATTGTCAAACATAATGTATGTCATGTAGTTATACGCACCGCCCATCTTATGCTCTGGCATTATAAAAGCATGAGGATAGGCGCGCGTGCGGGTCCATGGCATGGTAAAGGCCCTGAAATAGGGGATACCGAGCTTCTCAGCGATGTGAATACCTGCCATTGCTGATGGCGATTCAATCAAGAGATCTGAACCTTCACAGGCCCCGACTGCAGAAACGAGAAGCTCGTCCAGCCATCCACGGAATGTCGCGTTCGCTTCACGTAAGAACGACCAAGTAAATGTCCCGTTCTCGATACAAAGACGCATAAGCTCACCGGGATCTCCTTCTACACGAGCAAATTCAATCCCATGTGACTCGATCCAGCCCTGGAATTCAGCATGTGTTGCGATTCGGGGTCTGTGCCCTTGAGCAAGGAGACCCTTGCACAAGGCGATGTATGGTTGTACATCGCCTCGTGATCCAATTGTCAAGCATGTGATTTTCATTGAAGTCTTAGGTCGGAAATCAATGATTGATGTCTCGGACTCGTCGATAATGAACGGTGCGTTGGATACACCGCTCGCTCTGCGTGGCAGCCGAAGTTCATGGTCTGGGAATTCACCACGTCTTGCCATGCGTAAAGCGTCTCGCTCTCCAATCGCGCCATCATCGTCGTCTTCTTCGTCTTGAGGGAGGAGACCTTCTTGCTCCAGGAGTCTTGTCGTTTCCAGACTTTGCAGCAATGTCACATTGCAATCATCTCGGTCTTCAGCCTGCCCGAATTCAAAGAAGAGCTCCTCATGGCCCTTGATGACGACCACGAGACCATTGTATCCAAAACGGAAGCCCTTTTCTTTGTGCACTGTCTCAATGTCTTGAAGAGGGAGGATGAGCTTCGTCCTCGTTCCTGGTAAAAGACTTCGAAAGCAAAATGAGCGGTCGCTAAGGTAGATCTTGCCATATAGTGGCAGAACACGGAAAAGGTAGCAGAAGTAGGTGGCCTGTAGCTTTTCGTTCTCTGGGAGGGTGAAGTGAGCTCGGAATCGTTCGTTTGAAATGTGTTTATTCCCGTCAGAATCCTCCTCGATGTCATCGTCGTCCACCCTCAAGCCTTTAGGTGCATCAAAGTGCTTTGTACCTCCTCTCCACATACCGGAGACCTTCTCAACATATCCCATAGATTCAGTTGCAAGCAACGAGCTCATTTTTTGTCGAGTCTTGTTCAAGTATTCCGCAAAGGCGCCAGCCCGCTGCAGGGGATAAGAACCCATTTTGGAAATACTCTGCAATGTAGGTGACGATTGATTTTGATCACTAGACGCATTGAGCTTAGAGTGCTGATCGGCCGAAACAACCTGACTGGAGGATGGCACACTGGACTTAGATTCGTCCTCATTTGCGGTGTGTTTCTCCTTTGATCCCGCCTCACGACTGACGAATTGCGGGGGTAGCCGATGGGACTCTGGGTGGAAGACGTGGCTATCTCTGAGAATTTGGCTGGCAGATAGAGCTGGGTCTTCAGCGGCCGAGGAACCAATGTTAGAAAAGCTGGGGGCTTCCACTGATGATTGAACATAGGAATCGGAAGACTCATGTTGTCGAGGCGTTTTGTTATCTTCCCATCGTCGGCGACTCAGAGACCTCCTACTAGAGCTAGACAGGCCCATTTGCCCATCGTCCGGCATCGTTGATGGTAGATCAAAACTTCTCCTCCCTCTGTGTCTGAAACCTTCGAAACTCGAGCCTCTAGATATGTCCAAGCTCTCTCGCGGGCTTGTGGCAGATTTCGGGGACATGGGCGATAAGGTCGCCCTGACGTTTTCTGACCGCCGCGGTATGCGGATCTGGCTCATCATCATATCATCAGGAACATTGCTAGGCGAGGTGTGTCCTGATTGCAGGTCGCCGGGACTCGTAGGGACGGGGCTCGACATCTTGTCTTTGTTTCGTGCTCTAGATGCGCTTTCTTCAACCAGGAGTCGTAAAACTCCGATAGCCTCTTCCCCGAAACTGAAAAACGAGAAGAAATACTGCATTATTATTAGTTTCCTTTATAGAGTTTCTCGAGAAGACTTTTCTTAGCTCATATGCAAAAAAAAACTTACTTCATCAATAGCGTAAGTCTCATCATTGTCAATAACGCGTATTTTGCATGTATCCGCGAACTCAATCATCTGTGTGTCTTCAACATCAATAACATTGTCAATGGGGAGGGAGATTTTGACGCTATCTCCGTCATTATGACTTCGAAAGATCACTCTTTGAAGACTCTTGACCCATTCCTTTGCGCTAGGCGCGCTATCGGCCCGGAAGTTGTATGTCCTGTGGGGAGTGACAACAGAGAAATGAACGCCCTTCTTGTCACTGTCAGTCACACTAGCTGAAATAGCATAGCTGAGGTCGATCTGCCCATGGGGAAAATATGGATTCGTGGAGTCTTGGTGATAGGAGAGCACGTATCCTTTTAAACGGCACCAATATCGGTTGTACTTGGGATTGCGCTTTCCACTTTTCGACAAGAAACCAGATTTTGAAACAACATTCTGGTACACCGGTCAGTGTTCGCTTTGATTGACGAGAACATTATCCAAAACCTACTGCTTTCTTTGGCAGGTACGCATAGAAACAAATGTGCTTCGTTGTGATGTAGAGAAATCCTTGGAGAAGAACGCTCTGCAGTAGCCAACAGGGATACTCTGTTGCAACTTGTTAGCATCTGATGCGCAAATTCGTCCGGGTATCATGACCAAGGCCGTACCTTCGATAACTTGCTCGGGCTCTTCGAATTCAAAGATGTCCATTAACCGCTTTGCTAGAGGCGAGCTGTCGCTGTGCTCCTCGGCTTGGCTCGTACCCATATCGTCTGTATCGAGGTCGAAGCTCGGCCGGCTCGACATCTCTGCTCTTGCCTCGAGCATCCTGCTCATAACAGGAGGGCGACGATTCAAGTTCTCTATTTCCAGATCGAGATTCGTGGGCACGGAAAGATTGCTTTTTTCTTTGTCTAAGCCTTCGGTTTCTTGCGGGTCTTCTCGGGGCGTCGAGAGTTTCGTGGGTAAGCTTTGAGACTTGGACTTTAATTTCGGAAGAGCAGGCAGTGATCGAAGCAGACGGTGGGCTGAAAGCTTCCTTCGGTGGCTTCGCCTCTCTTTGGGTTTAGGGGTAGTCAAAATGGTCGTACGCGACAGGTCTTCTTCCAAGCCTTGAGCATGTCCATCGCCGTGCTCGCCGTCCTCATCACTACTGCTATCGTTGAATCGTTCGTGGAAATCGACCCGTGATCCTGCGGCCGCAATAAGGCCGAAAATACTCTGATTCATGTTCATGAACATGGGCGGGCTCTGGCCCGATTGCTGGTCCTCGCCATCAGAGTGATCGCTGTCCCTCAAGCGCTCGGGTATCTCGACCCCACACTCATGTTGGTGCTTCTTCTTGAGCCTCCGGCTGAGGCGCCGCTGGAGGTCGTTGGACAAGGCTCTCGCGGGAGAGCGCGGCGGCGACCGCGGATGGGACTCCATGGTTTGGTTCGACGCCAGGAATACAGCTGCTAAGCTGCACGAGGCTGGGTCTGATGGCGGTAGGTGCGAATAACGTCACGGTTGTCGCCGCGCGAACGAGTGTTATCGCGACGGGAAGCTTATCGGGTCGGGCAAGGGTGGTGGTGGTATCGAGAAGCGCTAGTGCCCGCAGGCGAGTCATCGGCCGGAAGAAGTCGCTGGTGCCTAACGATGGGTGCAATGTGTCAGTTGAATGCCGGCGTCCAGCGCCTGTTGGCACGAGGACGAGGGCGGGTTGATAAGGTCAAGCAAGCACTGTTGAGGTGGTGAGGCTGGCCATGAATCACAAGCTGCGGGAAGCGTCAAGGGCGTTCATTCAGTCATCCCCACCATTAGTTTGGAGGCAGACGTTGGCGGATGGAGACAGCAACCACGGCACAGGCCCATCCATGCCTTAGGTGTCGGGTCCTGGTGCTTGCTCGGAGAACTTAGGGGGTCAAACAAATGCCTAGGCGATGCTGACTGCCTGAAGGGCAGTGGGCAGGTGGGGTAGGTTTAGGCGGCCTTCCAAGGCCTCTTCCCCGGAGCCATCCATTAAGAGAGCTCCATCTGGGTCGTGGCAGACCTGATTGGCTTGCTTTGTTATCGGGCTTGGCGTAAACTGTGAATGACGCCACATCACTGCCTCAGCACAAAGGAAACTGCCACTGTCACGTCTCTGACTCGTTTCTGGATTGGCGAGGTGGTTGGTGACCTGCACCTCATCACTGACCCTTCCTCGTGTGTTTTCCGTGGCCCACTTCAGCTTGCATGTGACTGCGAGTTTTGCTTTTGCTCTCAGAGTGACCCATCCAAGCCATCCTAGGCATAATCAGCTGCCGTCGACGCCTCTCCACTCCACTGTTTTGCCTGTGCCTGATCACTGATCACTTGCCTGGCATATTTACAGAGGTGCTCGAGGGAGCCAGTAGCCGCATCTACAACGCGTACAGAGTTGCCTTATCTGCCCGGTGCCTAGTAAGCACGCAGTAATTACTGGCCGGCGGAGTAGTTACAGATTATCGACGGACATACGCAACCCATGAGCACTTCATCTGATCTCTGAAGCTTCTTGGCTAGATTCCGATCCCAGCTCATCGGAGCCGATATCTAGGCAGCAGGGGTTCAACCAAGTCCTTTCTTCTTGGTCCCACGTGCGTCTGGGGTTGTACTGGCGCAGGCTGGGAATCAGAACCGATGATGAATGTTAGTATACATTGATCACACAGAAAAATCGTTGATAAAGTAAAGGTAAAACATCACTTTAAATCGCTTTCTGATTAAACAATTAAATATACATACGGTGCCATTGCAGGCTCCCAGTCCTATTTGAAGTCCGCTTAATGATGGAGCTCACCTCTTCTCTGGTGGACTGAAGCAACAAAGCAACCATCCTAGGAAGGACCGAGATTTCCAACCGTCAGAGGTCTAGATATATAGCAAAGAATAATACAAGCGAGAAGATCAAAATGTCGTCTTTATATTCAACAGAGACCGATCTCATTGCCATAAGCACAGCTTCCCGCTCGCAGTACCACCAGCAACCCAATCCTGCGATGGGTGGAAGTGGGCCACGGCAGGGACAGCCGAAATGCCCTCCCCATCGAGTTGAGCCAGCTGGCTCCCATCAGAAGCAAACACGTCGACAAATCTGTTCATGTTTCCGATAACAAACTTCTGGATGCCGTCGTTTGGCCGTCGCTGCCACTGCGGCTTCAAGATCGTCACCCATCTGCCGGTCTGGTTGTTGTGCCGGACCTGATGTGCCGGCTTCATCGCCTTGGGGCCAATCTCATGGCCCGCCTTCCAGGAGCTAGAATCGGAAAAGTCGTAAATCTTAACCGTATCGTCGTATGAGGATGTCGCGATGTGGCCTCCAGGACTCCAAGAGGCATGGGAGACGGACAGTCGGGATTCGTGTTCACCCAGTAGCGCCGGATGTCGCATGTCTCCCTTGCCAGTAATTTTCCGCAGGTCCCAAACTTTAAGTGTGCGGTCTAAGGACGCTGTCGCAAGTAGATGAGGCTGGAGAGGGTGCAGAGAGAATCCGCCAATCTTTTGATCCGACAGACCCCATATCTCGTCGGTTTGGGGCCCTCGGATGTCATACCTGCCTACGCCCCCCTCCAGCGTGGAGAAATAAAGCACGTTGGGGTTTTCTGCAGCAATGTCGAGAGCCGAGATTGCCATCTCTACATCTGCGTCTTTGGGTGCGTACACTTGAACTGACTTCCCTTTCTCCAAGTCCATCTTTCGAATCGAGGAGTCGTAAGAGGAAGAGAAAACGGCATTGTGATCTTGGTAAGAGAAGACGAACGATGTGATTGTGCGAGCATGTGTTTTGAACGCCGATATCACGGGGTCTTGATATTCGGTCTCATCATCATCCTCAGAAAACGGTGCTGTCTGAGAGCCATCGAAAACCCCCATGTTGCCTTCCTTATCGCCAGCGAAAATGATGGGCTTGTCTTCTGTAGGATGAAACCCAAGTGCATAAACACGCTGTGGAGTGATTTTAATATCTAATCCAAGGTCAGCGCAAGTCCCCCGCCATCTCATCATAAGATCGAAGCTCACCTTGAGGCGACCAATGCTCATAAAGCTTCAGTCCAGTCATTCTCTCTCTTAGCTCTTTCAGGTTCTGATCCGTAGTCTCCTTCACATCATCCTCAGTAAAGGTTCTGACGCCTGGCTGAGCTCCGCGAATGAGTCCTTTGATCCCGGTGATCCCATTGTCCCATTTCTTGCCCTCTACTGCAATATCTCCGAGATCCAAGTCACCTGAGACTCGCATCTTCTTCGCCTTGGCCACTGCAGCTTGTGATTCGGCCTCGACCTCCATTTTGCGCTTCAGCGTCTCGTTGTCCGCATCAAGCCCGGCAAGGCGGGAGCTGGTGCGTGTAGGGCGAGCATACTCGCGCTTGATCGGCTCACTCTTCCTCGTCTTTCTTTTGGGAGCTGGGGCAGGCTTATCCGGTATAACCTTTTTGGCGGTTTTGGAAATGTCTGTGAGAACCTCACGGTTGGCCTCTATATTTGCCAATCGCTTGCGCTCGAAAGCACTAATTTTGCCCTTTTCCTCAGGCATTTTCAAAAAAAATTATTTCGAGAAAAAAATCCCATGTATCTTGTACCAAAGCAAAAATGGACGAATCAGTAACAAGGTCACACAAAGAAGCACTCAAAGTATTGTGAACAAATAGGAATGTGAACGTGAGGTGACGCGACTAGGCGCGTCAAAGTTTAATTGATTCCCGGCGCGTGGTCACGCCGCGGACCCTGATTTCGCGTGCGCCGGGTAAATCCCGGGAGAAGAACAACTTCTTTTTTTTTGTATTCACCAATTGCTTCAAAGATCAATGCTGTCTAGCATGGAAACCGAGAGGGCATGAGAAATCTATACGCAATGTCTTCAACACTTACTCCGTTCCTTTATCAGACAAGGACACTACAGCGAGCTCTCACAAATTCAGCCCGAATCGCTTCAAGATCATACGCATCCCACCGACAACTTCGCTCCAGCAAGGATACTTCAATCCCATTCGATTGGACCAATGTACCCCTCCCAGAAGAGGCTCACTCTCCTAGCCGTAGCGGCGGCTTGGGCGAATCGAATAATGATGAGAAACCTTCGACGATAACGCCCTCCGAGGCGCATATTTTCAAAAAGATTTTCGACGAGATAGCCCAGGGAAAGATGCCCCGAGCTAGAGCCAAGCGCCCAACGCCTTCCATCGAAAACGAGCCGCCTAAAGAGGACCTTGGGGTCTCGTCGCCCGATGCAAATTCCCGTTCCATTGTTGTACAAGCCCGTATGGCCGATTTCCGAGAGAGGGTGTTATCCAGGTTTCCACAGTCCTTGCGGGAGGCAGCACAACTCGCCCTAGGCCTGTTCGAGCTCAAAGATGGCGCTGGTGTGATTGAGACGGAGACAAATGAACAGAAGGCTGAGCGCAGCAGGTTTGAGCAAATAAGGGAGAAGGAAAAAGATCGGGTCTTTGCACTTATGAAAGCGTGCAAAAGCGATGCTGAGCTATGGAAGTTGATGGAAACGGCGGTGTTCTCATTGCCCGAGGAGCTGGGGATCGCCACTCAGGAAAAAAAGAAGCAGCGAGGGAGGAAATCATCGAAGGCATCAGTACCTGCGGATAAGGCTACCGCCGTCGAAAGCGCTGCGGCTAAGGAGGGGGCTGGCCAAGGCCGGAAGCACATCATGGACATCGACGGCCCCCTCTATTCTCAATATCTGAACCATGGACTCACTTTGCTCGACACTTCGTTTGCGAAGCCATCTCCTTTTGCTCTCCAGATCCTGCCCCGAGTTAGGTCCCTTGGCCTGCCATCCTACGTCTTGGGTGTTTCTACCAAATTCTACACCACCCTCGCTGCCATCCATTGGAACCGCTTTGGCGACGCTTCATCAGCGTTGGACGTGCTCCAAGAAATGATGGCAACCGGCCTCACTGCTGACGATGATGTCAAAGCTCTGCTAGTGCGTATCCGAGATAATGTTCTCGGATGCACCTGGGGTGTCCAGGGCCCATTTGTCAGTGGCATGATGGAAGCCCCGCCGTACGATGGCGCCCTGATGCAGCGAATCCAGGAGCTGTATGACTTGGCCGAGGACACGATCAAACAGGCAGAAGATTACAGCGGATGAATGGGGTCGGCAGTCATCATTTTCCCCTCCCTCGGCTCTCGCTGTTGTATCCTATTAGAGTACATATACGCGCAAGGGGTGGTATTGATGTATCCCAACCTGCATATGCGCTGTAACTAATGCATTACTGAACCTGTACTTATATAATAATCCCAACCTTATCATCAACTAAGGATTGTGCCTTAGAAAAGAAAACCTAAAGACTTACTCAGTCTCTCGTAATGCGAGGCAATGATCTTCTCGATGGAGCACGTCGTATCACATATACGAGACAGCCAGCTGCCACCTGTCGCCGTCCCATAATGCCTCACCTGCGAGACGATTTTAAAGCAGAATTCTAAATGAAGTCTTACTTTGTCTGTCGCGGGATGATGCCAGCCAGGCTCGGCGCGCCTTTGTCATCCCGCCCCGCGAACTTTCGGCTGCATCCCACCTTGTCTGCCTCCTCTTCGAATTATCTTGCCTGAACCGGTCAAGTCCCAGACCTGCCTACACATATGGAAAGCCGCCCGGAAAGCTTGGCAGCGAGGGCAAGGAGCCCTTTTTGAGGAAGAATGTGCCGCAGACGAACCCCGGATGCGACGGCAGCGGCGTTTTGCTGACCTCTTTCTCGGGACATGGGATCGTTCTCTATCAAGCGAGGCGCATCAACTCAAAAAAGACACTTTTATGATGCATATCAGTTAGTGTCGCAAAGTGCTGGCCCCGGAGGAGAGTTTCCCATGCATGCACCCAAGGTTCCATTCTGCATGTCCAACCTCCCAGTATGTCAGGTCGCAATAACACCCACCCAACAGGCAATGCGAGTCAATTTGGCTCGTTTTCGCATCTCGCACCACACCGCGATTAGCGCGGACGCTTGCGAGCGATCCGCGAGAGCTAATTGCTCGGCCATCACCAGCCCATCTTCTGCCCGGACCCAACCAAGGGGAACAGAGATGGGTCGCGGTCCTTAGCACGCGGCCAGTTCAGCTCAGCCCGCGCAGTAATTCACCCAAAGAAGCAAAAAGTCAAGGTTGTAGCAAAGTCAAAGCTCCGCACTAGGAGCCTAAAGTATTTATCCCACTTAGTAAATCTTATTGTCTTTTTTCTTTTTTTTGCGGTTAGTCTCCTGCAAACTACCGGCAGGCTTATTTCTCACCAAAGATGCCTCGTGGTAATGATAAGCAAGGCCGGCAGAAGCCGCAGGGACATGGCCCTGCGGAGGGCCTACCAGCACTTGATGTTGGCAACAGGAGATGACGATACGTAAAAGCACAGATATTCACCATTATACACTTCAATTTAGCTTCTTCTCTGAATCAAACACTTCCTTCACAAGATTGAGACCTCATAGAGACATCGCTTGGTCTGAGTACCAAGACCTGGACAGCCTTAACCCCGACAAGGGATCAAGGATGTCGTGGTCATCCTTCTCGACTGCCGCTTCAAGTCGACTAGGGGTTCCAAAAATTGGATTCGGGTGCCCGAAACAATACACGTCCCCCAAGTGAGATTCGTCATTGGCAATATTCAAAGCTTGGAAATCGACTATGGAAAGCCACAGTGGGACTTTGCAATTATGGAGAGACAACACCGAGTTCACCGTCCATCTATATTTAAAATCATATGTTAAAATCATAAAATAGTTCATTCATAGGCCGGGCCAAACCAGCATCCAGAATCCAAAATGCAGTTCCATCAAAATTCCCAAAAAGCCAATTCGTATAAACGTCCGAGACAGGGAGCGCGCCTTTTGCGCACCCCTGATATGAGGAGAAATCCCAAGCTGAATTTCAGTAAGCAAATATCCCGCCCCATTTCTAAGAGCCCAGCCCGCCTTCCCCCCCTGGATATGGTGAGAATACACAATCGGTAGTTCCAGTAAGAAAAATTTCCGCTCTGGTCCCCTCAGAGTTCCGCGTTTCGTCTTGTATCGTGGGCGCCCCTGGTAAAACCCCAACCCTCCTGACCTAAACTCTTACGCGCTAGGGGTCGACAGAGACCTCGGGCGGCTTACTCGCGGCCTCTCCCAGCTCGTTCTTCGCAAACAGGTTCGGATCAACCAATAAAAAGTCCCGTCGGCGCGAGGGGTCCTGGTTCGTTATGGAATGTAAGCTTGGTAGACGATGATGGACGTGGCGGGTGTCGACGTCGTCATCCTCGGGAATCTCTGCGGCCAGCGACGGAAACGCATACTCTGTTGAGAGCTGCCGTTGGTGGGACATGCCGCCCATGCTCGTGGGCGCCCTTGGGCTTCGAGGAGATCCATTGAGGCGGAATGCGCCATACCAACTGCCGTCGGGTGTGCTTGGGAAGGATCTCCGCAACATTTCCAGCCCTTCCTGCTGGTCCTTGTTGTCCGTCTGGTCCGTCAGATTTGGATTTTGCGCCATGGCGCTGCTGGGGACTGAGTGCTGCCCATTGTGAACGAATTTGAATACTGATGATGGTCCTGGACATCGGGAGCATGACCGGCGGCATGGTGTACATGTAGGCCATTGCTCATCGCACTAGAAATGGTGTGTTAGGAATAAGAATTCTGTTCTCCAAAACCAAGAATGTATCGAATTGGGCAAGAAGAGACGAAATGCCAGGAAATCGAGCAGGAAAACGTGAGTGCTGTCAGCATGTGTGAATTTTGCATCCTCACCTTTATCTTGCGTCTCTTGCAACTCTTACAGCCTTTCGATTTGGGAATGCCAGGCATGTTGTGGTATCTTTCAGGGGCGGTTCAGAACACACTTTTACTCTGTCTCGCTCAGAGGAGAAAAATGGTAACCGCGCGCCGTGGTGGTAAGTCAGATTATAAGAAGAGTGAGAGTGAAAAGAAACAACATGAATGTATTAATGTATTGTCTTAGACGGGGCACACACCAAGAACAAGGAAGCAATCCAGGTTGGGCGAGGTATTAGTCCATATAGGTCGCAGGGTGCGACCCTGGCCCTCACTCCCGCATCCCGATATGGGAAAAAAGGGACACTCGGTGGCATGGAGAATGGGATTTCTGTTTTAGCCCAGGCGCGGCCTTGTCTGGATTTGGCGAGTTACAGCTCACTTGCTGGCCGGCCGCGATGGGGCCAATGAACAGCCCTTGGCGATGTCTAGTCGGGACATATAACTCGAACGGGGCAAATAGTCTGTCCTGCTAGGTGCATGGCATGAGGGAGGGCAGTGGGTCCGTCATACATTAAACACCGATACCTACATGCCTCTACTGGCCGGCCATGGGTGCGATGGTATGACATGGCTGGAGAGAGGCATGTTTTCAGCCTTCTGGAACCACTCGACCTCTCCACTCGAACCCCCGATCTCATGTGGAAGACTTACCGTATCCCGAAAGAACCTGCGCAGTCCGGCCCACATGGGCTGTCCTGACTGGCGGGTTCGGTTTGAGATGCTTCCCCCGGGGTAGACAGACATGTTGGGCAGTCTGCCGTGTTGAGCCCTTTCTGTCCTCTGTAGGTTGGTTGCACTCGCTGCACGCTCTGCAGCTTGCATGGCGAGGAGAGCAGGGCGTGGCAGACTCAACACCAACAATAGTAAAATCTCCAAAAGCGGCCACACAAGGCGACATCCAATACGTGGAACCCGAAAAGTGGACTTGCTGTCCAGGATGTCGCTACATATGACCCCTTTGGGCTAAACATTGCCGTGTGGACGGAGACCTGTCTCAACGTGTATTTGCGTCCTTCTCGGCTTACAGCCGGTGCTGATTGGCCAGCCCCTCCCACCGGTCTCTCCTGCGGCTCTGCGTTGTATGATGAGCTCTCGGGCTGAGGAACACGTATGTAAGTGTGTGAGTGTACCAACTTGCCAATGGCAAGTGAGTCCATGTCGCCATGACAAGGATCGCCACCTGACACCGTCTCTGGCATCGGCGAGTGCCATAACCAAACTAGCTAGCTGCTACCCCTGCAGCACATGGCGTCTCATCATGTAGGGTCTTCCGAATAGATCTTCGAGGTGGCCACTATTATTACTGTTCCGGGTCGCATTTTCTATACTTAGACTTCTCAAGGCCATTTAGTCATACGCGCATATCGTGATACTATCAGTCGGGACCGAGACCCAATGTCAGATTGGATGTGCCATGATAGGATAGGCAATATGCACGGCATCAACAGGCTGTCAGTTTTGTCACAAATCTTTTCATACGAAAACCAGATCCCTTTCATGAAATAAGCATTATGAGGGCTACAACACATTTCTCCTATCAATAAGCATTTACACTATTCTTATCGTGGGTAGCAAAGAATACCTACCCTACACGTATGAAGACATTTGGACATTCCGGAACTCGCTCGAGATAGACAGTATATTTCAGAATTCTTGTTTGTGTAGTTTGATAAAGGGTTAGGGGAAACAAGAACTTCTTTTCAAAACCACTCACTTCAACGTGTGCGTCGGATTTACGCGTATTTTTAATTAGTGACAAATCAGGAAAGAACTTCGGTAGCTAAATCGGACTATATGAACCTTGAAGGACCCATAGCTAGAATCACAGATGTATATTAATATTAATGGAAGACGAGTTTTTTTGTGTGTTTTTGTAATAGAAACTAATAACAAAACCAGCAAGGAATAGCAGAAAATAATAAGAACATCGGTGCAAGTGAATCGAAAACTATTGGGATTGCGTGTGAGGAAAGTGCCGATTGGTATGTCTCGCCAAGTTGTCTTCTCTGAGACAGACGACATCGCAATACGGGCAAGGAAACTTGGGTCTATCCTTCAAACTCTGATGGGTGCTCTCATAGTGCCTCCTCATGTCCTTTTGAGAGGCTTTTTTAGAGTCGCAATCCGAGCATCGAACTGGACGTGTATGGTGGTTGATATGTTTTCTATAGGCGTGTAAGAATATAAAAACGGACCAGAGAAATACAGAAGGGGCATGTGATGAGCGGAAGCCTTCATTTCTTACTTACTTAACCTCAGACTCGGTCTTGAATTTCTTTTTGCAATCTTCAACCTGGCACTTCCAAGAGTCGCGTTTCCCTTTATAAAACCCTGTGATATCAATGTCCACTTTGCGGAAAATCCACTTCCCATCTTTCAATCGAGGCCACCCCTCATCGTCACCATCTTCTTGTGTTGCTGTGTTGAGGTAAGCTGCATTGCTGCTTTCTCCAACTTGTTGATTCACTGTGCCCCCGCCCTAATAGGCGGAGTCGCCAGTTTGCATAGAGTATGCGCCATCAGCAATTGGTTCTTGAGGGGCATACGCATAAGCGTTTTGAGAATACTGCCCGTCTGATTGGGTCCAATCGCCCCCCTGACCAAAGGGAGGATAATAGGTGCCTTCCTGGTTGTACCCTTGGCTGTAATCTTCTTGATTGTACCCATAGGAATAGCCTTGACTGTACTCTTGGTTGTCCTCCTGGTTGCTCTCTTGGTTGTATCCTTGTCCCGACTGATATGACATTGTGCTGATCGGGGGCGTGTGGTATTGATCTTTGAAGAGTAGCTTGATGAAGTTGTTCAGGGGTCGGGATATATTGAATCTCCTAATTCGAGGAAATATGGGCTGCCGAAAATTTTCGTGGATAATGAGATGGTCAAGAATGGAATAATGGGAGAGATGAATGGGTTCCTAGTGAAAGGGGAGTTTTGATGGTGAGTGTGGGAGAGAATTGATACAAGAGCGAACCCCCTATCTTATAGTTTTTTTAGCTTCCAATGATCGCACACCAGTCGCACTTTGAAAACATGGTTCAGTACTTAGTTGCCTGTTGAGACATAATGTTACAAAACTTAATGTGCACCATTCAAGACTCATAGGGGTATAGAACTGGTATCTATGATTGATGTCTTGATGAGGTTGTTCAAAATGCAAAAATGAGCCAATCGGATAGGTGTTTTGAGGGTGGGGGGCCGCGAAAGCCTCGAAAAGCGCCTCATCTGACGTGATGACATCAAGAGGCCTGACGTGGTTGTTAATTTTGGTTGTCATTATTGGTACAAACCCAGTATTTATCCACAATTTGAGGCCCGACTTGCATTTCTGCCTTTGGTGAGCTTTTGCCTATGTGACTGCATAGGGCTGTATTTCGGTAACAACTGGCAGGTTAGCTAGGTATGAAGGGGATGCGGACTAGTCATCGAATCGGACTGCACTGGTTTCAGTTGAAAGAAAGGTACATTGGCTTACCTAGGCAGGTCTTGTATGACTCAACTGTCAGGTAAGGTGTTACTTGAAGGCGGATGATACCAATGGCTGATATCAACAATTTGTCTACTAAGACGCCTGTCGACGCTAGGCAAGTCGACACAAACAATAATGGATAGCTGGATATCGGGGTGTAAAACATATCCAGTTCAAAGGTTCTAATCTGAGTCTTACCGGGTCATAGGAGGTTGCGCATCTCAGTTACACCTCACCTCACTTGCTTAACACCTCCCCTCCACCCTCCGGTAGCCGGTAACAGTAAATTGACCTGATCATGACCACGTCTTCTCTTCATTCTCACCGTAATGCATTTAAAAAGCGAAGGCATAGCAGCATCCAAATCTCGTACTTCTCCACTGCAATTAGAGTATTCTTTGCACTCATACACAACGCATGATTTGACCTTTCTAGCTTGTTGCGTTCACTCTCCTTCATCCCCTATCCTTTCATTATTGTGCCCTTCTTTCTGTTTTCGCTCTCTTCAAGGCTATAAAAGGTATGCAAATAATCAGCCAAACCACTCTTTATGGCTTTCCTCTTCAACACCTGGTCTAAACATACCTGCAACTCGTACTCTGATCCTTCCTTCGTCACTGGCGCCGCGCCTTCTCACTTTATCTACCCTCCTGCCTTCCACAGAATGACGGGCTCCAACCCCCGAAACACACCCGATAACTCGTCCACCGGAGGCACCATCACCATCACGATGCCCTCCGCCATCTCCCCGGAGATCCAAGCCTCCCTCTCCGCCATGAGGAACTCCCAGCCGCCACCAAGTTCTCTCTCCTCCGCCATCACCGCGGACCCGCGCATCGCCCACCCCCTCCGCCCGCCGCACAAGCGTATGCGCTCAGAGGCCCCCGACTCCCCCACGACGACGGCTGTCGTGTCCCACGCACCGGTGGCAGGAGCCGAGTCCCTCGGCTCCTCGAAGCGCTCCCGCGACCTCCTATTCGACTCCGTCGTCGCCAACAACGAGTCGGCCGAGTTCCACCGCACGATCCAGGGCCCCGACGACCTGGGCAAGGCGGAGCTGCTCAAGTGCTTCGAGATCCTCCACGCCTGCGGCAGGGCCACGGTGCCGGACGCGTCGCTGGCGGTCACTAGGAAGAGCATCGAGGGGTTCTTGGAGGCCATATTCAACGGGTGGGCGAACGACCAGGAGAAGGAGTTGGTGAAGCCGTCGCTCGAGTTTAGGGCCGACGCTGATGTTGTCGCTGGTCATATCTGCGGTAAGGATGTTCTTCGTTTTTCCTTCCCTCGGGTTCTTGAGAGGAGAGAATTTGCTGACCTGACTTCTTGGTTTTCCTCGACAGCTTTCCCTCAAGAGCACAGTGACACGAGCAACTGTGTAACCTCAAACGAGTGCAAGGCCGAATTTTCCGCCATTGCGACTTATTCCACCGAAAACCCCGGCCTGAAGATCGAGTTCGTCCTCTCGAAGCAGATAGAGGGTGAGGATCCCGTCGTCCTCAGTCCCCTCATGCGCCGCGACATGCGATGGCTGGAGACGGAATGGCCGGAGGAGCTGCGCACAGAGCTGAAGCGGAAGCTCATGGGCCGCCTTCACAAGTACAACAAGCATGTGGCTCTGTGGAAGGCCAGAAAGCTAGTGCAGGGCTGGATCAAGGGCGATTCGACTGATGTCGGCGTTGGTGGATCTGAATTTTTAGGACCGCTGGAGGCTGATGCAGCCATGATGGGATTTGGGAAGGCCGCTTGAGAATCTCGACGATCTGACTCTGATCGTGTGCTGTCTCTTGGATGGTCTGTGGAAGTTGGAGTCGATGGTACACAGAAAATTGTCCACGTCTAGGTTGCCTCCCCCAACAACTTCGCTCAGTCTCAAGCTCAAGGTATTCCCACCACTGAGATTGATCTGCTGGATTTGGTATTTACGGGGAAAGGGGGCTTTGATTGGCCGTTTGAGGATCCTGAGGCTTTGATTCTGATTTGTGCTGAACACTACGGCGATTCATTACTCACAAGGGAAGGAGCGGCAGAGAACGGCGACAGTTCTTAATGGCTTGCTCATAATACAACTAAGGTAGTTTGCTTAATTTGGGAGGCTTCATTTCTTGCTAGCTTACGCAGAATCACTTAAATCGAGAGCAGGAAATCAATCAAAGGGATAGGAACTATGACCTATTTATGTAACTCTTCTCAGCGCCTGGAAGATCCCTTGCCGCCTCTCGCAGCCGCAGCATCGTAGACGCTCTGGATGTCGTCCTGCCACTGCTTCGTGTCCGGTCGTGCGAAGCGACGGTCGTAAGTGATGAGACCGTTGACCTCGCCCTCCACATCGGTAGTCTGCGTGTAGACGGCGCCGCTGCAGGCGTACTCCTCCGTCTGCTCCCGGATGTCACGGAAGAGACGGTGGGCGCGCCAGTTGTAGGACTCGAGATCCTTGTTGATCTCGTAAGTCTCGTCAATGGCGGCAATGGCCTTGGCATCATTCCAGAGACTATAGAGTATATAGGTCAGAATATGTTGCTGATTAGGGTGGAGGTAGTTGGGAGAACTTACTGTTCGATTGAGACGTTGTGTCCAATACCGCCGTATTCTCCTTGGAAGCCGATGCGGACACCGTCATATGGAGTCTTGGGTCTGGAGTAGAAAGGTGTGCCGCACTGGGGCGATGCGTAGGCGTGGTTATCCTATCATCTGATTAGTTTCTTGTCATCATCGTCAGTGAGCGTTGGCTCTTGAAATCCTACCGCAAAGTCTCCGAAACCATGGTCGTCCCATCCACTGACGGAGATGACCAGTCTGCTGGGGTCGAGCTCACGGACAACCTCGGTGAGCTGCTCCTCGGGCTGTCCATTATCCAACTGGCCCCATCCCTCGTTGAAGATCATCTTGAGAACAATTAGCAGGTGCCTGATTCAGGATGGTAATGTGCCGGACACTTACCCATGTAACAATGGAGGGGTAGCTCTTGTGCTCATTGATCATGATCTCGAGCTGGCGTTGGAACTCGGCGGCTACCTCACCAGTTGGCTGAGTGTCTGGCTTCAAGCTGGGCATATCCTGGATCACCAAGAGTCCAAGTCTGTCGCAGGCGTAGTAGAACAAATCAGGCTCAATCTTGATCTACAGTGAGGAAACCCGGTTAGCAGTTGGATTCTGGCAGTGGGTTTGAAAAGAGCCAAGCCTTGGGGGGTGGGATGAAGATAGTAACTTACGTGCTTGCGGAGCATGTTGAAACCGTAGTCCTTGAGCACCTTGATGTCGTACTCCATAGCCTCAGCGTTGGGAGGGGTGTGAAGCCCATCAGGCCAGTATCCTTGGTCAAGCGTGCCAAACCAGAAGACGAACTCGCCGTTGAGAAGCTGTCGGGGCACACCATTGACGTCTCCCTTGGAGATGGTGCGGAATCCAGTGTAGCTGAAGACCTCATCATCGTCGCCCAGAGTGACAGTCAGGTTGTAGAGAGTAGGAGACTCTGGCCACCAGGGCTTTACGTTGTCGACGGTGAACTTGAACTCCTCACCAGAGGTACCAGTTCCCGACGCAATCTTACCACCGTCAGACCCAAATACCGTGACTTCTACAGGAGTGCCGTCACCAGAGCCATGAACGTTGACGGTCACTAATTCCGAAAAGAAATTGGTTAGCAAGGGAAATGTCATTCAAGGAGCAGGGGAGGAGAAATTGGTTGACGCACCTTCACCATCATGCTTGGCACTGACATCGAGCTGGGTGATGTGGTTGGCCGGGGCAGACTCAATCCAGACTGTCTGCCAGATACCAGAGCAGGAGCGATAGAAAATATGGCTAGGGTTCAAAGTCTGCTTTCCAACAGGGATGGGCTGTGAGTCTGTTGGGTCAGAGACGAAGACGAGCCTGGCAACAGGTTAGTGGACTTGCATGCTTGCTTCCAATCTAGATTTCCGAGACTTACAGGTCGTTTGAGCCGCCATACTTGACGTCCTCAGTCACGTCAACGGTGAAGCGGTGGTAGCCGCCGATATTCTTGGTCTTCTCGACGCCATTGACAAAGACGGTAGAGCTGTAGTCCACAGCCTCGAAGTTGAGCAGCACGCTCTGGCCCTCCCACTCCGAGGGCACATCAAACTTGGTCTCATACCACATGTGGCGCACATCGAGGATCTGCAGACCGGAGAGGCCACTCTCAATGCAGGACGGCACCAGGACCTCGCGGTCCAAGGGACCAGAAGCAGGCGGCGATCCAACATCACTCTCGCTGGTGGCACCCCTCCATGTCCAGATGCCATTCAAGCTCTTCCATGCCTCACGGCGGAGCTGGGGGCGAGGATGTTCTGGCCAGGGATCTGTGCCCACCTTGTACGTCCAGTCTGTGTCCAGAGGAGGCTTCTGGACCTCGTACTTTGTCTGGCCAAGGGTAAGTTGGCCGAGGCTGAGGAGTGCCAGCCCGGATGAGAACAGGCCTCTCATGACGAAAGGATTGAATAAGTTGAGGAAGACTTGAGGGTAGAAGGATGAAGATGTGTCCAAGAGGGTGAGGTTGGTGCTAAAGAGGTTTTCGAATGTCATCAGAAGGAAGCCCCTGCTCGTCTCCCTTGCGCGAGCTCCAAGACACTATATATACTCATACAGGTGGATATAAGATTGGGTGGTGAAGCTTCTGGCGGATAAAATGAAGACGGGAAATAATGCTGAAGGAGTTCGGTAAAAGCAATGAACCGAGCGAGCAGGTGGTGATCCTCATGCAAGGACTCGACTGTCAGTAAACCTCATCCAGGATGACGTGCGTACTGTAGCTTCCGGCATCATGTCGGCGAGGTGACGAGCCTCCTGGCCTCTCCTCCTCCGCCTTCTCCTCCTCCAGGCAGACAACATAGTTCACCGTCCCCTGCTAGTATCCACCTCCCTTGGGAGGAGGGAGTACTCAACCGCTCCGCCGCCCGAAGAGGAGGAAGCAGCTATCCATGATCCAAGGTAAGGGCGCGCTACATCGCGTCATGTGATGGTTAGTGCGCCAAGGACGTCGCGCTACCTTGCCATCCAACGACAAGGGCAAATGAGATTAACTCTTGAGGTGACGGTGGGACTCTGTGGACTGATCTACCTCATGGCATTTGGCTCTCACACACCGGCCGCGGTTGGCTGGCTGACTCGTGTGTGTTGCATCGAGAGATGGATGGCGAGGTGAGTCCAGAACCGGGTCTGTGAGATGTGTTACCTTGAGCACGATTTCTCCCGGCGCGCGCGTCGTCTCATTGGAGTACACACAAGGGATATTGTGGAATCAGTATGACCAGGGTGCCTCCGCGCAAGATCAGACATCAATTAGACTTCCAATTGAGACACTGTAAATCATACGAAAAGATGGAGATGACCTTCCGCATAGATAATTCTGCTGATCATGCATTAAGATGCGCACTCCACCAAAGATGCTGGTCCTTGAAAGTTAGGTAGATCACAAGAGGTGAAAGAAAGTCAGCAAAATACAACCGGCAATCCACCTGCCGTTCCAGGGAAGCGTTTCCCTGGTCTGGCAGTTCAAAGTGCTCTGTAATCCAGTCTCTTCTCCAGATTTCCCGGCGTGCGGGGGATGTTGCATCGGCCAATGTCGATCATTGGCCTGTTGGTCAAGACAATGTTCTGGTTAGGATGTTTTCCCAACGGCCGGGGCCAAGGTCGAATCAATGACACTGGATGTTTGCTTAGCGCCCAGAACCAGTAAGCAATCCCGTAGTGAAGATCCGAAGGAAGTGCCGAGCGGTGAGCTGTGGCTTTTGGTTTAAATCCCTTTGGATTCGTAGGCCGGAGGTTGGACTTGGTGGAAGTGTTGGTGAAATGGAGTGTTACATCCAGATAACTCAGTGCCGCCAACCGGAACCATGATCGTATCTCCTCTCCGAGGTGTTGGCTAGCTCTTTGAATCCATGATATCCCAGCCCAACTGCCTTGTACCCGCACAACAGCGCTGGCAACGTGACATAAATGGTGGATTCTTTACGCATGAATTTAAACTTGTCTCTCGCAAACAACAACCGTACCATCCTGTACTGCGACTGGGGTATCAATTACCCTTGGAGCGGTTTCTGATGGCGAGGGTCTTGCGCCGGGCTCGATCTGCTCGATGGCCGGCGACCCCGGAGACACTCGCACGTTACCCTTTACGCCAAGACTTTCAACGCATCATTTGCTTTTCCTTGGCCTTTTTCGGTACCTAGAAAAAGGTGCGACTATTATTTTTGAGGATTCTGTACGGCTCTCTTTGTCACTTGCCCAAGTTGTAGTCTCTTATGCAGGAACAAGCCGTCATCCGTCAAATGCCGAAGCTCCCCTTCAACCTTGAAACTAGACAACTCTGAGGGTTTTTTTGTGCCCTTTAAGCCGTTAGTACTTGTTGAAATATGAATCTAGAAGTAGCAGAACTATTTTACAGGCGTATATTTCGCGTGTTTCCCAGAGCACCAACATCAAGGTCGCATTGGGTTGCCATCAGTTACACACCTCCACTCCACATTACGTTCGGCAGAATCTCCGCGTCGAAGACAATCACCATGATTACCTGCATTTAAAGTTACGTCATGTTGCATTCGGCCTCTTCCTGTCATTCGTTTCCCCGCACTGGCGTACAGGAATCATGCGATGCTGAGGAAGGGGAAACCGCGGTTTTGATGCTGCATTCTCCTCGTTCTCCCACTTGCATGGGGGAGCTTTTCCCTCTTGCCAAAAAGAGGATCCATGGCACTTCACCGCAAGAGAGTTTCCGGGATTTCGAGTTAAGTTTGCTGAATCAAACCTCGGGGTGCTACGGTGGCTGCCCGATGTATCACACCATGCCACATGATTGGGACACTGGCACACCAAGAACCCATGCGAGGTGCCAGCACTTCCTTGCCGTGGACACGCACACCTTGCTGAAAGGTTATCGCAGATCAGTCACCAGACTAAATTCTTGCTTTGACATGGTATGGAGTTAGCGGCACTGCAAGTGGCCAACTCGGGAAACAATCTACTTGCCCCTTCGCACAGACTGAGGCAACATGATATACGGATTCAGATGATACCACCGGCAGTGCTTGTGAGATTTGCTATAATATTACTCAAAGCTTTGGAGATTGAATGCCGTTTGCTTGGAAGTTTTCCTATGACATGGATTCTCGGTTCAACGTTAATCATCCAGTAGGTCTACAGATACAAAGCCACTCTCGACGTCTTATAAAACTTGACTCTCCTCTCCTCAAAGAGATAACAAGAAAATAAGACCAGATACTTCGAAGATATCTTGGTCACTTATTTGTAATAAGGCTCTATGTAGTTGCGTACCCTGAGTAGTGCACCTAAGCCTGGTCTTCCGGTATCTAGGCAAGGCAACGCGTTGATTTTAAACCATGTGTTATGATCGCGATCGGGTTAGAAAGCCTCGAGATGACATGAAGAGAAGTGAATGAAGAGAGTCAAAGATGAGAACGTATAAAGAAACAATGAATAAACATTACTTATCGGAACTCCTTTTCGGAATTAATGCTTCCTCAGTACTGACATATATTACCTATAGCTCTCATCTTGTTAGTTTACATTGTAAATAAACCTCAGTATCGCTGCCTTCAATGTGGCATCTCTATGTAGCAAGACTTTTGAATCCTCGTGGTAGTTCTTTTAAACTACCATTGTCTTTGGTCAGTGAATGATCGACGCGTGACATTCTTCGACCCTTATTATGTTTACTATGGCTGTGCTGCAGGAACAGACTCGTGTACTAGCGGAGATCATCATCATCGCAGGCAGGCGGGGTTTGATGAAAATAAGCGAAACATGCCATCCGTTGCATCTGTGAAATCAAAGCACTAGCCAGGGTCCAGTATGCCCATCTGCTACCCTCAGCAGGGAGGTTAATTCCCAAGTAGAAGGAAAGGGGCTCCAACTTCAGCGCTACCACATTCATCACGAAGCACATCCATCCCCTATTTGAGACTAGAACCAGGCTTTGAGCCTCTGACTAAATCTCCATCCTTCGGGATGGAATACAACCACACCGCCCGGGTAAGAGTGCCGTGAGACTACCTGGGCAGTCTGTGGCCCCCTTTCTCGTCCTACCTTCTTCGAACCTTCCTTTCTTCGGAGCTCGGGGTTTCATGAATACATTACCGCTACTTTTGTCTTTCAAAATAATGTGCTTGGAATGAGTTTGCGGGTGATTATCTGTAGTTAATATTGGTCGCGGCTTGACTCTCTTTCGGTTCCACCAACTCTAAGGGCAATGAATAGAAACTTCATACATTCCTCACCCTCTATCTCATGCTAGTTCTGGCAGCCGCGTACGCAAAAAGATGTTCCCCGGCTTTGGCCTCGCAGAAAACTCCTGATCCACAACGTACACAACCTCTCCCGCCGGTTCGGGCTGGAACCCCAGCTTCGTGTACACCCTCCTCCCCATGACGGAACCCTCCGTAGTCGCCTCCAGCCCGCCCCTCCTCTCCGCCTCGTCCAGACCCCACTGTACAAGCTGCCTGGCGATGCCCCTGCCCTGATACGAGGGGTCCACGATGCAGCAGTCCAGGACCAGGAACGCCGGCTGGTCGGTGGCCGCCTTCTCCTGCGCCACCTCGGCCCGGCGCTTATACAGCGACACGCACATCTGCGAGTGGAACCGGGCCTCGGTCTCGTCGTGGGGGTGGATGACCCTCGACGCCTCCAGCCTCTGGGCCTCGTTGGGGACGGGCTCGCCGTGGCCTGGGACGGCGGAGTGCTGCACCCAGATGGCGTACCCGACGAGCTTCCGCCCGCCGGGACTGGCTTCATCTGGAGCTGTCGCCTTGAGGAAGATGGTGTTTGGGTTGCCGTTGTGGTCCCTGGTCACGGAATTCCACCGGTTGATGCCATGCTTGATGCCGACTTCGCGGCCTTCGGGGGTATCCCATCCCGGGTTGGAGCTCCTCCAGATGGAGTCCTCTGTCTGGCGGCCGAATGTGGCGATCTGGCAGTCAAACGCCTGGACGAGGTCGTCGGTGTTCTCGACAAGGCCAATCTGAATCTCGTCGGTGGTGGTGACGGTTGCCATTTTGGATGGAGACAGCAGCCGGGCTAGAGACGAGGAGAGGCTTACTCGGATTCTCGTGGGGGTGAACAAACAAACTGCCTCAACTTTCAGTTTATACTCTGTAGTGAATTCACAAATATATAGATGAGATAGCTAAAGTGTCTGCGAAATGGTGAGAGACTTAAAACCGCGAGGAGAAAGGCTTGGCGACAGTGGATTCCTTCTTGTGCCCCTCATCCACATCGACTTGCAAAAGGAGCAGGCATTTTGCTGAGGCCGTTATTGTGGTTGACGATGAGGCGGAGGCTGAATTGAACCGATTTTACAGGGGCCAAGCCAGCAGACAGTGGACTGGAGGGCCTAACTCCGAACACCCTCCACAGTTCATCCGCTGAAGGTGCTGGATAATGCTTTCAGTCATGGCCGTGCCAAATATTTCTGATTGACTGGATCAAACCTACTTAATCCTGGAAAAGCTCAAACCGTTGTCTGGTCCGTCCTGGTCCGATTGAATTGCGCATGCACTGGAGCCTGTGGATGAAGTCAGCGGATTGCGTGGATTCTGAAGCCTGCTGTCCAGAAAGGCAGTTGCGACTCACATACAGTGGGCAGGCACGAAAAAGCATATTAAGAGCTTCAGGCCGCCATTGAAACTCGACACTCCCTCTCTTTTCCTCCAAAATCTGCACTCATTTTTCCCAGGCACAGATCGGCATTTCTGTGTACCTATCCAGCCAACAAGCCTGACCTGCATCAACTACCAACAGCAGTCTCCGTCCTTCTCTGCATCATGGGAAACCCCGTAACCGAGCTCGCCTACATCACCGTCAAAGAGGGTCTCGAGCGAGATGCCCTGAATGAGTCCACCCCAGCCGGCCAAGCCTTTGCCTACATGATAGATATGGTCATCAAGGCGCCCGGCGCCCGCGAGGCTCACTGGGGGCCATCTGTCGAGAACTCCAGGCAGATCTGGATCTTGGTCGCTTGGGACGACATTCAAGATCATCTCAACTACCGCGAGACTGAGTAAGGGAAATTATTCATCAGCTTCTAACCGAACAACATCATTAACAGCATCTATCTTGTAGAACCCTTGCCGAAGTCACGCGCAGGCTCTCTCCTCACGTCGACATCCCAGCCGGCTACCAGATCTGCCATGTCAACCCACCCGTGACTCCTCCGTTCAACATCTCAGGCTGCCCCGTGGTCGAGATCCTCTCCTTGTGCTTCCCCAGCGATCTCGAGGCCGAAAACAAGAAAGTCGTGGAGAAGAACTTCGACTTGTTTATCGAGAAGGCCATCACCCCAGCCGGCTTGTGTAGAGGGAACGCCCAGGGCTGGACCGTTGAGACAAACGTTGAGCTGCAGGGCGAGCCTGGCAGCAGCTTCTTAATCTACGTCGCCACGCTTGCATGGGACAGTGTAGAGCAGCACCAGGAAAATCGCGAGCTGGATATCTTCAAAAAGAACGTACAACTCCTCCGCAACCTGCCCGGCTTAGCCAAGCTGAATTCTTTCCATGTGCAGGCCAAGTCTGTGTACTCTTAATAGAGTACTTGAAGGCGTTCCAAATTCGGAGAGAGAGGCTTACAGGATTTACGGTTATTTTACAAGAGTAATATGGTGGTTCGTTTATGCGTCGCAATTTGGTCTGATAGCTGGCACGTATTTTACTCTCGAGCCGTCAGCGATACTCCGACCGTCCCTCTCTATATCTCTCTCAAAAATTGTTCAATTCTGTCTTCTTCCTTTTCATTCTCACTTATTGCAAAGTTCAGGATGTGGTTTTATCTATCTCCAAGATCAAATATACTTGCTCACTCTAAATGGCATGCCTCCTCCTTCGACCAAGGTACCATTTCCCCATCGCGATATATAAAACATTCTCGATTCTCCATCAGGTTAAGCATTGATGTCAATCCTGCCTCAGCTACTACACCAGCAGCCTTAAACCCAAACTCCTCGTGATGTAGTTCCTCACTCGTACAATGGTCTAGTATGAGCTCCGCCAGGGCCATGTACTCTCCTAGCATCGCGTCCAATAGCACACGCTCGTCACACACAGCGCCGTGGTCGAGTAGGATCTGGACTGTGCTCAGGTTAGCCCCAATCACGGCGCCTCGCAGAGGCGTTCCTTGTCGGTGTTGGCTCTTATTGACATCAGCGCCCCGCGCAAGCAGCAGCTGGACGATATCGTTGAATCCACGACGGGCTGCATTGAAGAGTGGTGAATCACTGTTCATCGCCTCCCTTTCATATGGGGACCCAGCGTCAAGCAGCGCCTGGACCATATCCAAGCGACCATAGTCCGCGTACTTTCCTACTTTGAACAATTCTTTGGCTTGTTCAGGAGCAAATGGGGCGAGCTTTTGGTAAACAGGCCAGTTATCAGCGTAGTGAAGGATAGTGCTGAACAGGTAGCCAACAAAACGTGTGTGAGCCTCACTATCCCATTGAGCATCAAAAGAACTAATGAGTGCATATCCTAGACCCTGAACTAAATCACCACCACTACTGGCGATGCTGTTGACGGTCTTTGAAGGAGGGTGCAATGCTACCTGGAGGATATCTATAGATCCGTTCATAGCAGCACCAAGGATAGCCTGGGGATCAGCTTTACCCTTAAAGTCGATTCGGTTTAGGGCATAGTGCTGCGAGAAGGGTGTCCCAGGGGGTGAGGGAGAAACACCATCAGGCAGACTCTCTTGGAGTAGTTGTAGCATCTCTTTATCTCCGGCGAAGGCTGCTGCTTCAATGGCTGCAGGGAAAAGGTAGTCGTGGTGTGTTGGATCGTTGCCTTTACTCAAGAAACGTTGAACCAACGGCTTATGCCCAAGAAACGCAGCGGCGCTCATAAGACTCGCATCAGGGCTCGTCATCTTGTCTTTGAGCTTTTTACTGGGTCGATGATGTGTCCCAAAGGCCACCCCAAGCCCTAGCCAGCAGAGAGACTCGATGATTTGTTGGACATCACAAACCGCCCCTGATTCTTGAGCGATCGTCTGGGCAATGTGGCGAACCTCGACGTATCGGCCAACGGCAGGGTCCGTCTCGTTCTGGACCCGGTAGACGAAATAGGAATGCCAAAGATCTCGGGCACCAGTGTTTCTCCGTAAAGGCCAGGCTTCTAGGATTGATGATCTATAGACGGCAATCCTGTTGTATGGACGACTATGGTCGAGTACCCGGGCCTCAAAAAAGGCAGGTAGAAATAGGACATTGAACGCCTCTATACATAACATAATTGTTAATAAATTGGTAAATTTTTCTGCTGAAACTTGTCTGTTTATAACTGACTGCAAACAAGCCTTAGCCTGAGGGCTCTCGCACGGCCTAGTTCAGTTTTGAAAGGGAAAAGATAGTAAAATGGGACAGTATCTAAGAAGCGAACTTGGATCGCGTGGAAAAGAATTAGGTGTATGATATCTTGGGATAAATCAAGTAGTTCGATTGGACCGGCTAACATGGTGAGAGTAGGAATGAAAAGAGGCTTCTGCAGATAAAATTGTAGGTGCAAAGAAAGATCCAAGATCTAGTCAAAATTGGTAAAATGGATGATGTTTGATGGTTCATGTTATGGACATTGCCTACTACTCATAAGAGAGGAGAGTCCGTTGCCCTGGGATATTTGTGCCCTCCGTGATCTAGTCATGTCATGGTTTATTCTTAGCATAAGTAGCTACCCCTCCATTTTCGAAGGTCTTCCTGCTCCTTCAAATGACTAATGTAATTCAGGCCCGTTGATTGGGGGTGAGCAGGGCAGATACCAACAAGCATCGTTGGTTGGCGGAGTCATTGAATTCAGGCTTCGAGCGACCAACAGACTCTTGGCATTCTTCATCGGCTGCTAGATTGCATCTAAGAGTAAAATGGCGCTTCCATGATGTTACGGGATTGAATATCCAAGAATGAGTCAATGGGGGATGTCGTGCTCGATAATTGTACATTTTGTGTCATACCACATACTTGGTACATACTGCTCATCACAGCATTCCCAGAGACTGGTAGCATGAATCTGCATCCCTGGTTCTAGATAGGTCCTTCTAGGCACCCAACAGCCGATTCAGTCGTTTTTTTTTCAATCACAATCCCATCAGTATACAACACAGTAGATGCAAATTTTTATATATACGTTGCTGATATGTAAGGTCATTATGAACCTAGTTGCAAACGAGAGCTCCCAATAATAGTCTCCGACAAATCCCATCCAAGAAAGTGTCTAGAGAAATCCTCATCCATTTCATACAAGGCGAGAAAATGTGTCTTCCAGCCCCGAGATCCAATATCCAATCATTACCTCGAGGTTTTCTCGAAACCCAAATCCCCGCCGCCGAATCCAGAACGGCTCCAGGGGGACAGAAAAGATCATCCAGTGATTAGTTAAGAAACAAAGATTTATGCGCCGTTGTTGATGAGCAGGTTCTTGGTACCGCTGGGGACCTTCTTGATGACATCCTCAAGAGCGGAGGAGGCAATGGTCTCGCAGAGACCGGAGGCAGAGGCGCCGTTGCCGAGGAGGTAGGCAGCGAGACCGGCGACGTGGGGGGAGGCCATGGAGGTTCCGGAGAGGGAGGTAGAGCCGCCGCCGACCTTGACGGACTCGATGGCGACACCGGGGGCGAGGACGTCGACGAGCTCGCCAAAGTTGGAGAAGCTGGCGAAGCCGTCGGTCTTGTCGGTGGCACCGACGGTGCAGGCGCTCTCGGCGGAGGCAGGGGAGGAGGTGCTGGCGTCTGCGCCCTCGTTGCCGGCGGCGACGGCGAGGAAGATGCCGGCCTTGGTGATGGCGTCGGCGGCGTCGTTGAGGGACTGGGAGAAGCCGCCGCCGAGGGACATGTTGACGACGACGCCCTTGGGGCAGTCCTTCTTGGGGGCGTCCTCGACGACGAACTCCATGCCGGCGACAACGCCGGAGGTGGTACCGGAGCCGTCGTTGCCGAGGACCTTGACGGCGTAGAGGGAGGTCTTCTTGGCAACGCCGTACTTGGCGCCACCGACAGTGCCGGCAACGTGGCTGCCGTGGCCCTGACCGTCAGTGTTGCTGCTGTCGACAAAGTTCTCGGCCCAGGAGGCACGGCCCTCGAAGTCCTGAAATTAAGAGTCAGCCTCTGCTAGTCTCCAACGACAAGTTGGTCGATAGGATCTTTCATTACTTACTTCGTGCTCGGTGTCGATACCGGTATCCACAATGTAGGCGCAGGTGCCCGCACCAGCAGTGTCATCGTAGGTGTAGGTGGTGCTGGTGGTGCTGTTGGTGCCAGAGTTGGAGATGCGGGCCAGGCCCCAGGGAGCGTTGGGCTGGGTGGCGGAGATCTTCACGATGGAGTCCTGCTCGACGTACAAGACGTCAGGGTTGTTTCGGAGGTTCTCAAGCTCATCGTCCTCGAGGGAGGCAGCGAAGCCGTGGAAGTGAGTGCCGTAGGTGTAGTCGGCGTTGGCCTTGATGGAGCTAATGGCAGAGGAGATGGAGAAGCTGGAGGACTGCTTCTGGGGAACCAGCTTCACAATGTACTTGCCGGGGATGGCGTCGGCACCACGGGGGAGGATGAGAGGAGCGGGAGAGTCACGCTGTCTGACGGAAGAGGGGGCGGCCATGGCCAGAGGCATGAGGGCGAGGAGAGTAGAGGCACGCATCTTGGTGGTTGTTGCCGGGTTGGTTCTAAAGATTGAAAAGAATGATATTGGATTGGATTGGAAGGATGGTTGAGTGAATGAATGGATGGATGGGATGGGATGAGGAGAAGCAGAAACAAACCGGATGAGGAGGGACAGACAGGTTCTATTTATCTTGGGTTGAGGTTCATCATGAACCGGCCCAGCTTCGATCAATCAACCTGTAGGCATCAAAGACGGCCAGGGGGTGATGCTTGTTGATGGTGGCGTCCAGTGCTGCCAACTGGGCCTCATACCCACCCCTCCACCCCCTGATGGAGATATCCCAAGCCTATTCTGTCGCCTCATCTTGGCTTCTTCTCACGATATGCACAGCATCTGCGGTGCTGTCAGGCTGGTGGATGCATCATCGTCCGCTGGAGCAGCCACACAAGGAACCCAATCCTTGTCCGCGCCGCGGAGAGTTGGAAGAGGGGCTCATAGCCGCTGCCGAAGGACATGACACAAGCCTACGCTGCGAAAGGAAGCTGTGCAGATCACTCAGGTTTCCTTCCACGGCCTGCTGGTCAAAAAGCCCAGCCCAAACGACGTGATGCGGGTGCCGATCTAGTGTCTGGACCTACCGAAACCAGCCAAGCCCTTAGCCCTGGGGTCCATTAAACCAGGGGCACGATCTGGTGCGACCGTGCATCTCCTTGTGAGCTGTGTGCTTGGATACCCAACGCTGGCAGTGGCTCGTTGTCTCTTCAGCTGGCAGGGGAGGCTGCAGCCCAGAACCACGGAGGGGTCTTTTGGGGATCGGCAGTCAACCCCCTGGTCGGTCCTGGGAGAAAGGGTAAGGCTTCTGCATCAGACCTGGGCTTGGATCTTGTATGAGAGGCCTTGATTGGGGATGGGCAACCAGGAGGTAAATTACCAGGCTCAGTTGAATACGGAATTCAACAAATCAACGCGGCATGACGGGCCAGAGAACCAACAACGCAACGGTACCATCGCTGCTACCACGGGAGGATGAAATAGCCCGACGAATCTGGCTCGGATCATCGAATTAGAGTCGGGACGCCAGTCTTGGTGGAGATGAAGCGCAACGGAGGCGATGCTTCAGTTGGTTGGTCTGCCACCAGCCAGTCCAATCGGCGTCGAGCTTCATCTAGCGTGTCAGTTAGGGCCAGTTAGAGCCAGAGAGTGAGATCCTTGTTCGATTTCGCTACGTGTCTGGCGCCTGGCATTGGCTCACCGGGCTGTGGCATCGCCGGAATGAAGTGTTTCGTCAACAAACCAGTAAGAAGGGGGAGAGCAGCCTTCGCCGTAGCGCTGCTTACTGTCCCCACGAGCTTCACATGCATTTCTTCGTTTAGGGAGGTCTCCATTGTCCATTGTCGCTTCCCCATTGGTGTTCTTACCGATACCCACAGCGATCATCGTTGCTCTAAACATCACCAACAATCAGATCATGCCACAACACACAGACCACCAGCAGCCGGGATTGCTTATTTGTAAGGTTCAATGCGATCCCGGCATGGTGCGGCATACTAGGTATTCCGGTTGTTCTTTGTCCGCCGCGAGGGCTGCTCAGTTCCGAAGCTCAGGGAAACGCCGCTGATGAATGTCTCGTTCATTCAATATGTCCAAAGCGCTGCGAATATCATCGCGCAGTAAAGTAAACCTGGGGTAGACCTGCCCGTAGCAAGCCGAGAAGCCCCTCACCGAAACAGCAGTAACACTCCTGCGTACAGAGTATGAGGATGAATCACAGCCACGACGAGTACTACCCTCTGCTTCCACTGACGTACCATGTCAGTATCACTCATACACACACACTGCCAGGCCAGGCAATAACTGAGCCCTAGAGGCTCAATCCATCGATTGAGTCAATCAACAGCCCTGCCCAGCCTGTGAGCTCCACACTGACGATCGCCAGCACGTCAGACCCTGATCTGGACTTCCATCTCGGGAAGCTGGTTTGGCAGCGCAGATGGCCCTTGCATTCGTCCTCAATGCAGACTCAAAAGTCCCGAAGCCGGGAGACTCGCCTTGGCCTGCCTCTGCCTGCTAACAGCGTCGGTGGACCACTCTTTGATATCGATATCGTAACATGATTCATGCAAAACATGAGCACGGAGTTTTGGCGCCACTTTTTCATCATCGCGGCTACCCACGGACGAACTGGCTAATACTAACAAGCAGCACAGCCTGGGCTAAGCATTCACTTGTAACACCCGAAACACAGCAGCCGGCCAGCTAGCAGCCATAATTAGGTGAGACA